AGCAATGCAGAGCTATAATGGTCATGAGTGTGGTATGTGTTTCAAAGTCTGTCTTGATGGGTGAGGATACTGAGAAGTTTCAAAATTAGCAGTTATTGAACGTAATTCTCCAACTCTGGGTACACTGGAATGAGACCTGAATTCAGTTAGGAAAAAATAAGAAGGGGCATTTCCAGAGGAGATTAAAAAGTAAATTTACTGCCTTTTGTGGGGAGCAAGAGACAGGGGCTCCTCTCTGTTGCCCAAGATGGTTTTGAACACCTGGACTTGTGGGATTCTGTCTCACCTTTCCAAAACCTAGGGATATAGAAATGCTCCACCAAGACCAGCTTTAGTTTACTGTTCTGCTAGATGCTTAAATCTTTGCTCATTTTTCTGTTGCTGTGGAAGAAACACACTGGTATGAAATGAAATTGTGGTAGTAAAAGAAACATGGATCAAGAAAAGTAGGTCATAGTAAATGGAGAGGTAGAAGAAGTTAATCAGGCAGCAGTGGACTATATAGAAGGCCTTGAAGATTTTTGGGCTAAAAATAAAGAGCAAAGGAACATAAGGTGAGTATGGGGTAATTATTTTCCTAAAGAACAAACAGATGCTGTGCTTTAAAGATAATCTAAAGTAGAATTTATGGGTTTGAGGAGTTAAAGAACAGCCTAGGACTGGATGGGAGACATGGCTCAGTGGTATAAGGGCTTGTCTACCATGGACCAAAGGCCCTGGGTTCCATTTTCAACATCGGAAAAACAAAGTAAGACAAAAAAATGAATAAACAAAAAAGCCTAGGTTGGTCTAAGTTCAACCGGTTATTTGAAACAAGTTGTTATGCTTTAAATAGAAATTTACACACACAGAAATCTCAGACTGAATGAGTACTCATGGTCTGCTAAATTATTACCTTAATTTTAGATTCTCTTGAGCCTCAGTCTACCCCTGCATTATATTTTCTGGTATTAAAAAACAAAACAACAAAAAACAACCATACGGGAATATACTGAGCAGTGAGGTAAGAAGTGAATAACTTAGTGACAGAAGCATGAAGGTAACACAGAAAAAGAACAAACAGAAGAGTACAAGCTTAAACACTGAGTATTTTTACTATGTGGCTTGACTGCAGCTATACAGTCATAATCAGACATGTAATTAAATCACCTTAACTTAGTCAAGCAGTATTTGGAGAAATGTTAGAAGTCAAGAACTGATTGGAATAAAGAGATATGCACTGCTTTCTTTGTTCTTTTTCTTAAGAGTTTACTGCCTACCAACAGGAATTAAACACATAACCAAGTACTGCTATATGCTTTCTTCTACAGGAGCACTCAGGACAACATTGCAAAACCTCATTAGATATGCAAATACTGTGTACAAAAAATAGCCACCTACCTGCAGATGTTAATTTGTAAGTCATCGCTTCACACTCTGAAAATAAAACAGTATGAAGCAATTTGAAACAAGGCTAAATGGAAAAGAGGCTTACTTTTCTCCTATTATAAAAAAGCCTCAGTAAAATTTAAGAGCATTCCATTGGCATAAAAGTAAACAGAAATACTCTGTATGAAAGAGTACTAGAGATTGCTGTCAGCCACAGAATAAGAAATGTCAAAAATCACAATCTTCTTTAATACTATCAAGTTCCTATAATGAAATATGTACTTTTAAAAAGCTGAAAATAGGTGGGTGGAGAAAGGGGCATAAGTATATGGAATGCTTCTAATTTTGTTTCTAATCTTTTCATTGAATGAAATGGGTTTCAACATTTGCAAGCACATAGAAATTGTGGAACTCACATACACTGAAATTCTCAACTGTCTATTATTATAACAATACCATAGAAGAACAGTATTGTGAGAAAGCCAGTTTTGATATTTCTCATCTCAGTATAAACACTATCATGATATACTAATTTTGTAAATAAAATAAGCTACCATATTTTTCAGTCATAGGAGAATAAACTTACAGTTACTCTAACAGTGAGTTGAAAATAAGCCATGGAGTTATCAGTGTATACTAGATCTGACCCAGGATCTCTTCACTGTACTTTAGAATTTACCGTCATATGGATTCAGGCATATTTAAAGATGTAGGAATGCATTTAAGATTTCTTGATTTAGGATGTCAGAGCAAGTTATGCTGGAGTAGCTTTTGAGGCCTAACCCTTTTGAAAAAAATAAACTTTGGACTAAGTATTTTAAAAATGATTTAAAGTTAATGGAGAGTGATCAAAAGCAGTCTGACAGTAGAGGGGCACTAACACTATTAAAGAAGAAACTGTATTTTTAAAATCTTACGGCAAGCCCCACAGTGCCACTGAATCATGAAATCATGTAAGAACCCAGTTCTTACTATCTAAGGAATCACAGAGACCAGTGAATCTGGAACCTGAGGAGGAAGTCCTGACAAGGAGTGAGCTACCAGAAGAAAGCCAGAGTGCTCAGTTCTCATGGTGATCCTTGAGCTTCACATGCTTTTGCTGACTTCAAGGTCCCAGTAAAAACAAGAATTGACGGGAGACTTCATCTGTTGTAAACTGCAAGGAGACTGACTTTGGAGCTTGAGTTCAACCAAGTTAACTGGCTACTAAAGAAATAAAAAACCACAAAATTCTTCAGAGGAACAAGATCTATAGTTTCTATCATGTTCAGGGTATAGTCCAAGTATAACATGAAGAAACATACTCAAAGAGGCAATGAGTGAAAACCAACTTCAAATTAACCCAGATGATCCAGTGGAAATCTGTAAGTGCAAAAAGACAATGTATAATTTTTTTAAAGTTGCCATGTTTAACAGCAGAGATGGTGTGTCAGTGAACATGAAGATGGAAGGAATGACTGAACTGACCTAATCTGAGAAAATTGAGCACTCTCTTGGGTTAGCACTTTTATATAATCTTATGTTTTTATAAGTTACTTGACTCGTAAGTCAGAGGCATGAATGTATCTGGATTCCAGTAATGCTTTAAACAAAAATTTCTCTATTCTTATGTAAAAGATGGAAAAATGTAGACATGACAGTTTTTAGATGCATGCTAGGCAAGCACTCTACCGGTGAGCTATACTCTCCACCAAAGATGCATTCATTCTTAACCTCTGTCATTCTTCCAGATTCACCTCGGTGCCCAGACTGTATTGGTATAAACTGTCATGGGAGAAACTGGAAGAACAGTGTTTTATAAACTCATTAAAGAAGAGAATGCATATCTTCAGTCTTTATTTTCTAGTCAAGATCTGTAATTAGTCTTGTTCTTTGGAATAAGGGCAGGAACTAGAATATGAAGGTAAGGTAAGGAATGTATTAGGTTCAAAAATGCAGGCAGTTTATCCCAGGAAAATCAGTCAGCAAGCAGATGGTCTCAGGTACCAAGCTAACAACTGGAATCAGGATTTAATCCCCTCAAGAAACTGCTCGCCAAAGTATAATTCTCATCACTTGCTTCAAAATTACCTGCAGTACTTGTTAAAATGCAAAATTTAAGCCCAACCCTAGACATACTAAGTTTGCATCTTTAAGAAGTATCTTAGAAATCTATATTGGAAATCCACAGGTGCCTCAAGTGGTTCTTATGGATATAAACTGAATGATTCTTTTTTAAAGGAATGAGCTGGCAAAAGCAGGGAATAGATCAAGCCCTAAGATAAGTTTCATACTCTAGAAACTACTGGCATTTTGGGCTGGAAAATTCCACGTTGTGAAGGGCTGTCCTGTGCATGGTAGGATGTTTAGCAACATCCCCATTCTTTTCCCACTGTCTCTTAAATGTTTCAAATAAAAATGCATCCAGACATTGAAATATGTCCCCTACAAGGGAAAATGGCCCCAGATTAAGAATAAGAACTGCTGCTTTGAGGGGATTCCAGTAGTAAGCACAGTCCCAATCAAATGATCAGAAGCAGAAGGAAAATGCAACACAGGAATGTCCAACTATTGGAATAGAAGGTTATGTTACAGCTAGACCTTCAGTAAGAACTGCTATATAAAATGGACACAAACACTTAGCTACCTTGCTTTTTTTAAAAATTATTTATTTTTTACCTTGCTTGTTGAGGGCCCATTTAACTCTATATTTGGTGACAGATGGAATATTAAGGCTAGCACTAGATAGGATTTGGCAGGTTAGGCCAGGTCTAAACCCTCCTTGTGTATTAGATTCAACATGGTCTTTTAAAATCAGACACCAACTTCACATGGTTTACACTCTGCCAACTTCATTCTTGAATCAGAATTTCCCATGGAATCCAGGCATTTTATATACAATCAGGATTTGGAACATTCACTGGAATTAAGATGACATTCACAATACTATTTTCAAGAATTCAGAAATACAGACCTTGGCAACACTTAAGTGTCTGAACTTCTTCAGTGGCTCTCATTCCACCGTATAAGTTAGGATGAAAGCATTACATACACTTATCCATCGTGGCTAAACTGTCCTAACTGAAGGTTTTCCTGAATGTTACTCTTCTGGGGTCTGTTCAAAGCCTATCTGCCCTTTGGTAACAGCACCACTTTCCATCCTACTGCCTGAAAGATGATTCCTTTGTCTGCCTAACTTCCTGTTGTGATACTTGAACCGTTCCAGCAGGGCTGGATGGTGGAACTCAGTGATTGAGCACTTGCCCAGCATGTGCAAAGCCCTGGGTTCTATCCTGAGACTATGATAAAAAACTGAAGAACAACACTGAAAGCCTCACTGATTAGATTGACAGTTTTTAACTTCATTCTATAAGCATTGATTAAGTCATGTATAGAGATAATAAGTCAATGTAACATTCCACAAGTAGCATGAGAAACAAATTTCTTAGAGTAGCACTTAATGTGTTATGACAGGAAATCCAGAAAAAAAATTCTATAGAACTTTATGTGTGAACTGTAAGTTTCATTTCCATATGAAACACTTCCTGTAACTAAAAAGTAAGCCAGTAAACCCGAGAATAATCTTAACTAAACTCTATTAATCTTGGTGAAAGTAGATACTAACTAAGCAATAATTCCACAACAGCCCAAGAATTGTATAAAGCACTACCACCGAGTATTTTATTCAGAAAAAACAAAAAGAGTAGGCCGAAACAAAAATCCCAGTCATTTGCAGTATCTATCAGCTTTCAACTTGGCTCTCCTGTTTAAGACAAAAAGAAATCAATGTGAGACATACCCTATATATAGTCAACTGCTACTAAATATAATTATGCTTAGAAATTGTGTGTTCAGTTTTTGTTATATTATAACACATTACATTTTTATTTTCAACTTTCTTTTTATACAAAATTGATTGTAATGTTACTAAATCTCTTTTCCTAAAATTAACAAATGTTGCCTAAGGGCTTTTTTAATTCACAACAGCAATTTAAAATTAATTATGTGTGAATTTAAGCCTTCCCTAAATTGCTAGTGGGTAGAAATGCTGCATTTTTACAATGCTGATGTTACAGGACAAATAGCTTATTCTATTTTAGAGTTCATGGCCTGACTGTATTTTATATCCTCTTTTTTACTTCACATTAGATTACATATTAACTTACTCAGTTGGAAAAAATTCTTACATTATTTACTGATTTCTGTTAAGAACTCTATCACTTAGTTAACAGGAAATAATATTAAGTATATCTTTATCTGATAATGTAAAAGAAAGGTTAAGAATAATTTTGCAACACAGAATATGAATGAGTAGCAGAACATTACCAAATTCTCTTTCAACCTGGCAATTTATAGATGTAAGCACACAGCTCAGCCTCACTTTTTATGTAAATAACCTAAGAGAGTGATTGCGAACCTTTTAGAGCTTTCAAGGATACAAACAGCCCACCGTGGCACTCATGCCATAGGTTTGTCACCATTGACTTAGGACATTATTTAAAGAGAAATAGAAATGAACTAATATGAGAATAACATGCTAAACAACTTTGTAACTCTGGTTACAATAGTTATAAACGTAAGTTTATACAATTCTTTCAATTAAACACTAATTTCTTACAATAAAGTGTATAAGTACTTTAGACACTAGCTTTAGATTTTAGATATTCTTAGTTGGCAGTCTTTTCCACACTTATGATGTCCTCTCCTGGTAATTTTACCATGTACATAAGCTAGAAATAAAAACAAAAACTTGAAAATTATACTACTTTAAAAAGAACATGGGTTTATCTGTGCTACCTCTTGGCTACCTGAAACAGCTGGGAAACTGTAAATCTGTATTTACCTGTCCAGAAGTGTCTCATGCAAAAATCCATCTTTCCGAGCCTTTTTAAGAATTTTACTGTCTTCTTTACTGATTTTAAGTTTATGATCTTGGAAACTCTGAAATTTTTTTCTGTAAAGAGAGCATCTTTGTTGAAAAATATCTCAAACTTTGACTACACATATTTCCTGATGAATTTAAAAATACTATTAAAATCCCGTCCCCACTTAAAAAAATTTAACTATATTTCTTTAATAACAACTTTTCACCTACGAAGATGACATTTACGACTACCACCAAGAAGGATATGGTTTGGATAGCTCTGCAAAGCTCCCTTCTACGAGGAAATACAGGTCAGAGTCCTGTGTTCTGAAAATGAATGGCACCTGGACAGTGCTACAGCAACTCTTTTTATTTTTGGCCCTTCAAGTTTTTATTGAAGTACAACGATCCGGGATGAATTTTAGATGCTGTTAAAAGCAGCCACGTCCATGGACTGCACATAGTCCTCAAAAGCAGTGATCTGCTCCTCCAGCATATCTGTTCCAACTTTATCATCTTCAACCACACACTGTATTTGCAATTTTTTAATTTCATATTCCACTGGAACTAGTTTAGAGATGCCCCAGACCAAGCTATCTGCTTGAATGCTTTGGATGCACTCCTCTAATTTTACCATATCTGTGTTGTCATCCCAAGGTTTCTTCACATTACAGGAACTAAAGATCAGGGAGCCAAGTGTGGTGGTACAACATGCCTGTAATCCTAGCACTTTGGGAGCTGGGGCAAAAGGACTGGAAGTTTAGGCAAATTAGCAAGACCTTGTCTAAAAGTGAAAAACAAGAAGGGATGGATAGGGATGTAGCTCAGGGTTCAATCTCCAGTTTAAAAAAAAAAAGGAACAGGAAGAACTGAGTAACCAAGTGACTTCAGCTTTATCAATCACAGGATAATAGGAAAACTGAAGCCTTGAGAAAAGCATTCAGGTGAATGCTGTGTCCTCGAATCTACAATATGCTGCCTCTTCTTGTCCTTCAGGTATTTAAAAGTGTCTTAAGTGCTTTACCCTCAGAACTGTGAATTTCAAAGGAGAATACATACACGTAGTTGATTTCACACTGTTTTACATTCCCTTTGTCTTCTTCTGGGATGTCATCTTTTTTCTTGGTTTCCCTTTCAGCACAGGATCTAATCTGGATATTGGAAATGAGACCCCAACAGGTGATACATTTATCTTCTTCTCCTTTTTTGTGGGGGAGGGATACTGCAAATTGAACTCAGGATCTTGCCCTTGCCAGGCAGGCGCTTATGCCGCTGAGCTATATCCCCGGCCCCTGATACATTTATCTTCTTTTCCCACTTTCTTACTCAGGATATGTGTTTGCTGTTTCATACATGTATCTGTAAGTAATTGCCATTATGAAGGTTCTCTAAGATAGCCCTTGTGCCAGAAACACTAAAGAAAAAATTATTTGAAAATATTTTATAAATCATATCCTACTGAGCAATTAAACAATACTTAGTCTATTTTTGGCTTCGAAGTAAATATACTAATATGAAATCTTCCCTGGTAATGTGTTCATTTCATTAGATGGAGTTTAAGACAGTAGCTATTTTACTTAGCACAGAATATCACTAAACATCTTAAAACTTTAACCATACACCATTTATTTTTACTGAATTAGAATCCACCCCTTCTGAATCCTCCTTATATCCTTATCAGGATGGCCAGATATTTACTATCACATGCTAAAAATGAACTGATTCAGGTATGGCAATTAGGATCACCCAGGGATCTAGCAATTTGCAACTCGAAGGATCCATGTCTCCAAAGTGGGTCCCTATAGTCCAGAGTCCAATGCTGAGATTGCTTAGAAAGTGATGAGCAGTGTATTTGTGCCAAGGGTGTGTGTAACAGTTCTGGTAGGAAGACTACGTTAGGCAGGAGGGCTCTCTGTTCTGGTGGACAAGGCCACATCATAAAGGAGATGATTAACACAGCATAGCAAAGCCTGTAATATACCTGGCAAGGGGAAAGAGTCCTGGATAATCACTGATCAGAGCTTGCGTACTGTAGCTGATTAAACAAGACCCAGGGAAATCTCATGGTACTTCATTTGAAAACTACTTTCATCATAAACACAATGGAGTACCTTTCTCTATAAAATATACAGCACTGCACAAATATTTGTCTTTAATAGTTTTCTAATAAAATGCAGATAAAATGTTAGTGTGATACAATAAAACTGAATATAAATAAAAATTAAATATAGGTAAATGAGAAATACTCTATCATTTTCCTAATGGGCTATCTGCAAGAAGTAGTGTGTTAGAGAAGACAAGAGTAGCTTCTGGAGTTCCTCAGCTAAGCCTGTGTATACATTCTGTCATTCCGTACTTAGCTGTATGACTTTCAAGAAGTGAAAGGTTATGATGTATGGAGGACTGAAGGCTATTTCCTTGTCTGTAAAGTTAACAGCTGCCTCACAAGAGTGCTATTAAGATGAAAGGCAACAATGCATATATCTAATTCAGCAGAGTGCTCAACTACTTGGTTAGTTTTATGTTCATATAATTGAAACATATTAAGACTAACATTTCAGTTTTCAAAATAAAAGAATACCTAAGTCTTAGATTAAAATTGAGACTTCTGACAGTCAAAGGCCTTTTGTAAAACTCTTAAAAAATGCAGTAAATTTTCTAGTTCCTGTTCTATACTCTAGGGAGGTAGTTTTCCATCAGCTAAGTCCAAAGGGTCAAAAAAGAATTAAAGGAATTATCATTTTGCTTGTAAATACCAGCAATATTTTTCAAGGAAGAATACTAAAGTATTATAAAATTAACTACCAAGCCAAGAACATCTTGAGAATAAAGGCAAATATACGACAAGGAATTTAACAAAACATATACAGAAATTTGGTAGATACTTGTAAATTAGGTTGGTAGTACAGAAAAATGTGCATTTTTTAATGCTTTATATTGAACACAGAAAACCTGAATTCCCAACAGAGACAAATTAGGGCAGGTTCAGAACACTCATTAATGGAATACAACGTGAAGCATAAAAAAAGTAATGCAACAAGAACACGATATTCTTTAGACACACCTTATGTATTGTCATTAAGGATCTAGTGGATTTTATAAAAACTATCAGTGAGGATCTAGTGGATTCTGAAAAAATTAAAGCTTAAAGGCCTTCATCATATTTTTGTTAACTACCTGATTTAACTGAGCTATCATGTGATTTTGTTTAAAATTTCACCTTAACATGAAGATGCCTGTATAACTTTCACAATCAAGTAAAACAAAGAGTAGGATAAGCAAAATTCATCTAGAATAAGGAAGTTTTATTTTCAGCTTAGCAACTAATTTTTTCCTCTGTGCTTCCTGTTTCTCCTTATGCAAAAATGACATGTACTATTCATAAAGAAAACAAAAATTTGAGTGCTAAAACCCTAAAAGTTTTGTTGTGACTTTCATGTTTCCTATAAGACCATTATCGTGGTCAGGCAGTAAACAAAACAACTTACTAACCTTATATATGTAGGTGTAAACATAATTTTATATAACCTTAATGGAAGAGAACTTAGGATATCTAACACAACTTTACATGCATAGACTCCTTGGATCCTGTTATGCTTCTGGGAATTTACCGTTGTATATATTTACACATCTACAAAATGATGCATGGTCCAAATTAAGTGCCATAGTACTATAAGAATAAAACGCTCCAAAAAGGATTAAAAGGTTGAAAATACCCTACATTTCCATCTGTAAGAGTATGATCTAAATAAAGCATGTCCCTAAAATGGAGTATTATGTAACTGTTAAAAAGAAAGGAAAGGAAAGAGTGGAAGATGGGGAAAGGGTAGGAAAGAGAGAACTTTTTTACATACAGTCTGATGGGGAAAGATTTCCAAGGCATACTATTATAATAAAGAAAAAATTCAAGGTAGAAAATTGTATTTGTGTATTTATGAAGAAAATATTAAGAGGCTATAAAAAAGGGAGGAGAGGGGGTGGGGGACAGGATAGATGGAGACATGTGAACAAGGTGGACAAAAAATGTGTATCTTTAAATGCTTTTAAAGTTTTTGTGTTCTGTAAACACTACATTTTTTAAATTAAAATTTTTTAAATGGAGGAGGGGGAAAAAGGAAGTATTGGTCTAAAAAGTACATGAAACTACTCAGAAAAAGATTAAAATAACAGTAAAGTGCTCGCAGATGGAGTAATTTAAAACATACAAATGAAACCATTAATTATGGAATCTGTAATTAAAAAAATCTACTTGGGACATAATACAGTGGACCCTCAAGTTACAAACAGCCTCATGTACAAACAACCAGGGTTATGACTGGAATTTTAGGTTTTACTCATGACCAAAGTCTTGAGTTACAACCCAAATGCTGGCAACTTGTGCAGTTGTAAACAAAGACTCACAATGCCATAAAATCTAAGTAAGTGTATGTAAGCATCAGTCTGAGCCCAGATGTGCATTTGTGGGCTTAATTTCAGTCAGTGGTTTATATAATGGCTATGATTACTGCTATCAAAATGGCCTGCAGGGGCACAGTGCCTGCCTGGCAAGCATGAGGTCCTGAGTTCAATTCCTAGTACGCCCCCCCCCTTGCCAAAAAAATAAGGCCCATGAAAACCTAGGAAAAAAGCTAAGGAAGGAATCACTCGGCCTTTTGGCTATGACCAAGTGTAGGAAGGAAGGGAAGGTAAAGAAAACAATCATAATCAAAAAGAAGAAAGAAATTGTGGAGAAATATAAGAGTGGTGTTCATGCAACTGATCTTGCTAATAGGAACAGCATGTTGAAATCCACCATCTCAACAACTATATAGAGAAAAGAATTGTATAAGGAAGCTAGTGTTGCTAAAGGTGTTACTTAAATTAGTAAATTATGATCAAGTGTTAGACCAGGTAGTGAGACTATTATTAATATGGATAAATGGGAGGTAGATGGCAGGTTATAGCCTGAGTCTATAATCTGTGAAAAAGCCAGGGCTATAAATGCAGATCTTATAAAGGATAATCCATCAACAAATGATAGTGGTGAAACATTTCATGCCAGTAAGGGTTGGGCTCACAATTTTAAAGTGAGAACTGGGGTTCATACCATAATTAGGCATGCTGAAGCAGACAGCACTGATGAAAGGGCTGCTGAAAATTACACACACTACTTTGAAGTATGACACAGAGAAATGGCTTTTTTATCAAGCTTTCAGCTGTGACAAAACTGGCCTTTTCTGGAAGAAAATGCCCAAGAGAACATACATCATCCAGGAAGAGAAAACAACTCCAGGCCACAAGCCCATGAAGGATAGGCTAACTTTATTGCTATGTGTCAGTGCAAATGACCTCAAGATAAAACCTCTCTTGGCTTATCACTCTGAGACCCCGGGAGTATTCACAAAACAAAGTCATGAAGACTAGGCTAGGAGTCATGTGGAGGTCTAACACAAAAGCCTGGGTGAGAAGAGTACTTTTTTTGAGTAGGTCAGGGAGGTTTTCTCTCCTATTGTTAAGAAATACCTAGAGGACAAAGGTTCACCACTCAAGGCTCTCCTTATCATGGACAATGCTCCTGCTCATCCACAAGATTTGGAAGAAGAATTGGCTGAAAAATTCCCATGGCTCTCAGTCAAGTTGCATCCACCTAATACAACTTCCTACTGCAGCCTATGAACCAGCAAGTTATAGCTAACTTCAAGAAGCTATAACCAAGGAACTATTCCTAAAGTGTTTCCAGAAGGTCTCAGATACAGATTTAACCCTTAAAGAGCTCTGGGAGGAACATTACAACATCCTTTCCTGTGTGGGTTAACTGAAGAACCTTGGGCCAATGTCTAAGGACACTGAAATCTGCTGGAAGAAACTGTGGCCTAAAATTATACAAGAGAGACACTTTGAAGGCTGTGTAGAGGAGCCTGAGCCTTCAGTTGTCCCTGTGGTTGATGACGCTGTCACTGTAGCAGAGTCACAGGCTTGTAGGTAGACAGTGGTGATGTGGAGGAACACTCAGAGGAATTGTTTACAGAGGAACTCCAGCAACTTCTGGCTGAGCAACAGAGAATGGCAGGTGAGGAGCTTTATGAAGACAAGGGGATTATCAACAATCACTGCAGCAAAGCTCTTCTGAAATACATGAAATCCTGAAAAAATGGCCAGAGCTACAAACATTTGTAGAGAAGTCCCAACCAAACACAGAAAAAGCCAATCACTGCATTCACTTGCTTAATGACAAAGTCATGTCATACTATAGAATAGTTAGTATTAAAGAAAAGAGAGAAAGAGACCTTAGACCACTTTTTAGTTCTGAAAAGGCTGAGACCTAATGAACCAAAAGCAGATCCTAGTAGGTTACAGACTCTCCCAAGTACAGAAAGGATACCAGAGAGCTGGATTCTTGATGTTTTTATGGAAGGGGACTCACCTTGTAATTAATAACTAACTTTCATTTCATTTTCCCTTCCTGCAAGCCAAAGATGTCAACTTGAATGGTGAGTACAGCATGAAATTATTGTTTCTGGTAAACCAGGCACATTTTATAACTTTTTGGTGAATATACAAGGAAAATTATTGGTATTTCTGGTAAATTATACATATTATACAATACTTTTTTATTATGAAAAAGTTAATTAAAGGGTGCTTTGGGAGGTTTGGAATGCATTATGGCTATTTCCATTACTTCTTACGTGAAAAATAGTCTTGACTTATGACCAACTCGAGTTACAACCAGCACTTGTGAACAAACTGTGTGACAAGGGTCCATTGTATTATAAAAAGCTAGTAAGTCTTAGTGACAGTAAAGGACAAGTGTTTTACAGAGACATAATCATATTACATAATATGATATATATCAATCTGGACAGAACTGTTATGATTACCTTTATCATTTCTTCTTCTCCTGCTGTTTTACTTTTTGCTTCTATATCCCCTGCTTCATTGCATCTGATAAAGCAACTATTTGAGGCCAGTAAGGCCATTTTCCCCTAAATAAAACAAAATAACCACAAAAATGAGCTGTGAGGGTATGTGCAAAAGAAATACTGAGTCTTTAGACTAAATTATTATTTTTTTTAACAAATTCTATAATCAAGAAAACGAATTTAGAGGAAACTTGAAAATGTAAAAACACACACAAAAAGAAACCCAAAATCATCTATATATTATCACTATTTAAGGATTACCATATAAAAATTTGAGCATATTCTAGTAGTGCTAAATTCTGACTAGTGAAGTAAGATTTTCTTTTTTCAGTACTGGGACTGAACCCAGGGAACACTGAACTACATCCCTAACCTTTTAAAAAATATTATTGGGGGATATAATCTCACTAAATTGCCCAGGCTGGCTTCAACTTTGTGATCCTCCTGCCTCAGCTTCCCCAGTACTGGGTATTACAGGCATATACCTCCATTCCTGGCTCCTTAAAATAAGATTTTCTTTGGCCTAAAAAAAAAAACAAAACCCAATAATGTAACTGATTTACTTCAGTTATATGAAAAGTTATGAATCATATATAATTCTGTATTTAAAATGTTAATGTTTTATGTAAAATTCTTTTTATTTATAACTGGAAAGTTTAAAAAGATATCATATAAAAACTAGCCTGTGGTACCTTTGAGAATACATTAAGAAATCAGTGTCTGAAGGACTTGTGTATGAAATGATACTTTTTTTGTTACACTGATTTTTACTAAGCAATACTTTGAAAGCTAGTTTTCTTTATACCTATACCTGTATTATAAATTTGATTAAATTCCCTTAACAAATTTAAGGCTGAATTAGATTTTATTTTTTTAAATTTTTTTTTATTTTGGAAAACTTGGAATAGCTTACACATCAAACAAAATAGTCACAGAGTAACTACAAAATGTTTTAATCACTCCATATAGTGTTCCATTTAAAAAGTGCTAAAGCACAGAATTCATTTCATTTCTTATTTATGGTAAGAGGGCCTGGGTTGTGTGTCACCTGGATGGCTCTTGGTGAATACCAGGATATGGCTTCAAGGGGATTTAAGCCTATACTGCACGTCAGTCAGCTGAGTCCCTTTTTGTAATAAAGTTTAACTTGTGCTTTTAAAATTTAAATTATTTAGAGTTAAGACTGTAGAGATGGGAAAAGGACCTGAAAAAAGAGAGAGGGGAGGGTAAGGGCAGAGAAAGGAGGAATAATACAATAGACACATGTACCAATTCTCCAAGATCAATGTAATTACTATGTATTGCAAACATATAGTAATAAAAAATTTATATTATTTGAAGTTTAATGTCTTTTCTCAAAATAAAATTAAATGAACTTTCCTAAAGTTCACTAGCAGTTTCTGACTCATCCTGGCCTTTTCCGCTGGAATATTTTTGTTGTAAATATCTCATTATAATCAACAGTATTGCCAGAGATGGTGACTCACATCTGTAATCCCAGCTCTTGGGAGGCTGAGGCAAAAGCATTGTAATAAGTCTGAGGCCAGCCCGGGCTACATAACTGAGTTCAAGGCCAGCCTGTACTACATAGTGAGACCCTGTCTCAGAAAATACAAACAAAAGCAAAAATTACAAGCAACAGGATCATCTATAATATGTTGCAACCATTAGTGGGCCAAGATACCAGTCAGTGGTTACTGATAAGTACTGTGAATAATTCAACATAGAAAAAGGGGGTTAAAGAGAAGAGAAAGTATCAGAGGCCATAAAAGATAAATAAATACTTTTAAGTAAAGCTTGTGCTTAAACAGACATGTTTGTACTGTGTTGCATTACACAAGTACATACTTAACTGGGTTGAACTTACCTCCTTTGAGATGGTTGGCTAAGGTCTTATCTTGAAAAACCCTGCTGGACCCTTCTTTACCTTTGTTACTGTATATAACTCATCTATTGGACTTTTCCACATGGTGGCTCTACTTGGTACCCCATGCTCCCTAGCACTGTTCTTCATATAGCATCAACTCTTTGGAGCAATTTAGTTTTTATGTATTTTTATTTAGTCTGTACTCCTTATAGAAATGGAAAAACAAAATTACGTATTTGGAATCAACAAAGGCTTAAAACATTCATATATTGCAATTACCTACTTATTGAATTTATACACATTATTCTTCTGTATTAAAATTATCTTTTTGTATCCTATTTTCCCTTTGATCTTGATTATGAACTGCGAGACTTTTAAAGTTCCATGAAGACTAAATTTAAATTATATTATTATTTATGCAGAAATTGTCACAACTTGGCCTTAGCTTGCTCCAAAGTCATTTACCACATTCCCCAATGTCTCTGAAAACATCCAGGTTTTCTGCTAATAAGAAGATACTCCTGAACTATTCTATTTCCCTCCTCTGAGACTGAAGATTGACTATTATTTAGAGTCCCAAAAGTCCATGTGCTGCCCTCAAGGGTGTACAAAAACATGGTGAGCAAAGGTACTATTGCCCTTTTTCTTGCACTGTTTTTTAGAATGTTTTTAAGATTATAAATTCATATTGATCTTTTTCATGGAATGTGTATTATTGCACTTTTCCCTTAAAAAAATCTTTTTCTTATACTCAAAGAAAGATTTACAAATAATAGGACTTACATCTTGAAACACTGGTTCCCATTGTTCTCTTGGTCCAATGGCATCTGAACGTCCAACAACAAGTCCATCTGAATTGATACCAAGATACTTTCCATAGCCAGATTTCAGGGCAATTCTTTGGGTTAATAAAACAGGCAAATATTAAAAACTGAGAAAAAAAATTAAAATATGGAACTAAAAACGGGGCATGTGTGTGAATGCATATACACACACACACAATGTCCAGATATATATGCAAATTATAAAATATAAAAATTCAGACTAGGTATTTTCCAAATCTTTAAAAGCTATATGTGGCCGCTTGCTGACATATTGGGCACTCTAGTTCTCTATAGATAATTTCATTTTTTGTTTCTGAATATAAGTACTGTATCATAAAATATCTTACATTATGCAATATATAATAATATATATGCCACAGCAAATATTTTCTAAATATATTACTTTTCAAATATATTACTTTCAATAGATATAAACATTCTATTACAGATGTATTAAATTCTTTTTTTGCCACTATACAACTGACATCTTTTCTGTACATAAAATGTTAGAGGTTTAATTCTCCTCTAAAAACACAAAGTTAATATAATTCTAACTTAAGAATACTTATATATTTACTGGGTATTTAAATAATATTCATTTTGAATGTCACAGAATTCACTTTCAGAAAATTTATTTCTTAAGCCAAAGTTACTATGTGGCCTTTAGTTAGCTGAATAGTGGGATTTTATAATGAATGAAATTAAATTAACAAGAAGAAAGTTACTAATTATAGTTAAACTCAAGTTTACCTGGAATCAGACAATTTGACAGCAGTAAACTGCTCAGGAGGACTAGGACCTTCATCAACTACAAGAAAAAAATTGATATTCTTTTGCTTAAAAAAAAAACACTACTTTTTTGCTAAAATTAATCTAAGAATATTAGGATATTTGGACACAATTATAATACGGTATGGATAGACTCATATCTTCCATAGACTATCTTCTTATCACTATATGGCTAAAATGATAGGTTGAGATGATAATTTAGTTACTTCCAAGATACTTTCTTCTTGCGTTTTAACTATAAGGCATAGTGAAATAAGCACTTAGTGTTTAACATACTAAATGTTTTCATTTATTCAACCAATGGCCATTGCGATCAAATGATACTGTTTTTTTGTTGTTTACTTCATACCTCATTAGTGCTTCCCCTGTGAGCTAACCAGAATGAGGAAACTTCTGATTGTTAACTATTCCCAGGCTAGTTTTGGCAAAAGGCCTAAAGAAAACACAAATTCAAACTTCTGATTCCATCAGGTTTTCTTTTCACTATTTCTTTCTTTTTTTTTGAGACAGCATTTTACTATGCAGTTCAGGCTGGCCTGGAACTTGCTTATATAGCCTAGGCTGGCCTCCAATTCATAGCATCCTCCTGCCTCAGCCTCCTGAGTGTTGAGAGTACAGATGTGTGCCACAAGGCTGGCTTCACTTACTATTCCACTTATAGTATTTATACTGTTTTTTAGTTCCATAGATACTCTCTATACTGGACAGTGTTTTTAACTGCTTACACTGGAAAGCAGGAGTTGCCAAGAGTTGGTAAATATGCAAAACAGAAAGAAGTGGAAGGGTCCAATGCAACAGTTCCCTTAAAATACGTTTGAGCGTAGTTACAGTGGGACTAAGGGAACGACTGTCATAAAATCTATCCTTTAAGTGTCTTTTCCCTTTCATTGTTTCTACCAAACACCAACCTTCTTTATGTGGGGCTCCCAGTGTAAAAAGACCATTGTCAAGTGCATGGATATAGGTTCCTTTATCCATTTCAATGGCAATGGTTCCCGAAATATCACCGAAGTTGGCTACTGTCCACCATATTCCTTAAAACAAACAAAAAAACAGTGTTTATTAAACATTTTACTTTTTATCTGATACTTCCCCCCAAACGCTGGGGATTGAATGCAAGGCCTCATGCATACTAGGCAAGTGCTTTGCCACTTTTGTTTTTAGACAGGGTCTTTGCTGTGTAGCCCAGGCTGGCCTCAAACTTATGGCTATCCTCCCGCCTCAGCCTCCTGAGTGCTGGGATTACAGGCGTGTGCCACCATGCCCGGCTTCACCATTGAGTTACTGCCTCAGTTCTTTTACTTTGGAACAGTGTCTCACTATGTTGCCAGGCTACGATCCTCCTGTCTCAACCTCCCTAGCAGGCAAGGTTATAAACCATTATGCCTAGCTGTTACAATTTATTTTTAAAGGATTTTATTTTACAATTGTAAGAAATAACAGAGATCTCATTTACCCTTTATGTTTTTTTTTCTGTACTGGCAATCGAACTCAAGACCTCATGCTTGCCAGGCAGATGCTGCTCCATCAAGCTGCTTTCTCCTAATACTAATGTCCTACAATCTCAAAGCTAGGAAACTTATATTGATATGATTCATGAACGTTACTCAGATTTCACTGGGGTTTTTTTTTGTTGTTCTTGTTTTTTGTTTCCAATTCTGGAGACTGAACCCAGGATTTCACAAAGGCTAGGCAGGTGTTGTACCCTTGAACTGAACTTCTAGCCCTTTCTATTTTCTTCCTCAGTTGCCTAAACTGGCCCAAACTTATGATCATCCTATGTCAGCCTCCTGAGCAGTTCAAATTCCTGGTTTATGCTATCACACCCAGCTTAGATTTCACTGGTTTTACACAAACTATTTGTGTGTGGGGTAGATTCATGTGATGACCACCACAGTCAAGATTACCTTCATTTTTTAACTATAAAACAGTAACACATGTAAAGGTACAAAGTGATGCAGAGAGAACAGTCTCCCATTGCAGACCCTAACCATCCATCCATGACTGCTGGAAGTGGCAATATAAACTGTTTCTTAGATATCACTACAAAAAGAGGTACTCTTTGGCACATCCTATAGTTCCCCTTTTCCACAGGGGTTATACTCCAAGACTCTCAGTGGATGCCTGAAACTGGCTAGTACCAAATCCTATATACACTCTGTTTCTTCTCACACATATATAGCTATGATAAAGCTTAATTTATAAATTAGGCAAGTAAGAAATTAACAATAAAACAGAACAATTGCAATAATACAATAACAATTATATAAATATGGTCTCCCTCTCTCGTGCACTTTAAGGAAGCACATTATGGTTTCTCTGCAGCATTTCCAAATTGCGAGCCACTATTATTGCACTTTGGGGCCATTATTAAGTAAAGTAAGGGTTGACAGCATGACAGTCACCCAAGCTGACTACTGAATAATAGGCAGTTTATACAGCATGAATCTGTGGAACAAAGGAATGATTCACAGCTGGGTAGCAAGATGACAGATTTGATGATCTACACAGAATGGCATGCATTTTAAAACTCATTTTTTACTTGTGGAATTTTCCACTTAACATTTTGAGATTACGTTTGAATATAAGTAGCTGAAACCATGGAAAGGTATTACTCTAGACATTAGTATGATTTTAGATAAGAGGCAAAATGAGAGTTTATGTCTATGAACACTGATGTTTACAAATCTATAGAATAAATTTAGAGTCCAATTTTTAAGGAATCTTTCCAGAAGTTCATATTTTAACAGAAAAAAGTCTCAAGTCTTCTGAATTGTACTTTGCTAGAGTAGAAATGAACCAATCTTTAACTGGATATTAGATAACATTAAGGAATTCTTGTTAATTTTACAAGATCTGATAATGGTATACTGTTAGGTATAAAAATATTTGTATTTGGAAATTTCCATTTAAAAAGTTTCTTAAAATTGAGCAAAATACACTACACAAAATTACCTACTCAGGTAAGTAGTTCAGGCTTTTCCTTTTCTTTGAAGGCTTTTTATAACTAATTTGAAATATCATTAAATGTACCTATAATGAACTACAATTTACTTAAAATCAAAAACAAACTATATAAAACTTTTAGAAGCAAACAGAAAGCTTTATAACATTGGGTTTTGCACTGATTTCTCGGATGTGACATGAGAAGAACATATTATTTTTTTTTTTTTTTCCGGTAACGGGAATTGAACTCATGACCTTGCACTTGCCAGGCAGGTGCTGTGCCACTGAGCTAAATCCCGAGCCCAAGAAGCACATATGATAGAAGAAAAATAGACAAACTGGACTTCAAGAAAATTTTGTGCATTAAAGACCAATTTTAACATGGAAAAAGACAACCCACAGAATGGGAGATTTGCAAATTACACACATAAGGAACTAATCTCCACAAAATGTACTCTAAAATAACACAAAAAATAAGGATGCACACAAAAAGATGGTTATCACCTGGCTATTATCAAAAACCAAGAACACAAATTCTGGTGAAGATGTGGAAAATCTGAAAGTCTTGGGCATTGCTGGAGAGAACATAAAAGGTTGCATCTCCTATGGAAAAATGTATGAGATGTTTTATTTTTTTTAAATTACAAATAGAGGGCTGGGGATATAGCTCAGTGGCACAAGCGCCTGCCTGGCAAGTACAACGTCCTGAGTTTGATTCCTGGCACCAAAAAAACCCCCAAAAAACCAAAAACCAAAAACCAACAAATACAGGCTGGGGGTATAGCTCAGTGGCATGGTATCTGCCTGGCAAATGCAAGATCCTGAGTTCGATTCCTGGTACCAAAACAAAACAAATAATGTAAATTCAACAAATTTAAATTACAACTAGAACTACCATACAGTTCAGCAATTTTACTTCTTGGTATGGACCCAAAAGCATTGACACCAGGGCTTTGAAGAGGTACTATGCAGCCATGTTCAGAGCAGAATTGACAACAGTCAAAAGGTGGAGGCAAACCAAGCACCCCCTGAGAGAAGAATGATTAAACAAAATGTATTACATACATATGACAGAATATTATTCAACATAAAATAAGGAAATTCTCACACATGCTATCACATGGGCAAACCTTGAAGACGTTATACTAAATAATAAAAGGCCTTCAAAAAAGAGAAATACCGTATGATTCTATTCATCTGTTAGAATAGTCACATTCATGGAGAGGGAAAGTAGACTAGTAGTCACCAGGGATGGGATTGGAAGAAGTGGGGTATAATGTTTAATGGGCACAAACTTTAGGTTTTCCAAGATGGAAAAAGTTTTTGATATCGGTAGTGGTGATGGATGTACAACAATGTGAATGTACATCAGCACTACTCAAATATAAACTTAAAAATGGTTAAAATAGAAAATTTTAACTTAGGTATATTTCACCACAAAAAAACCTAATGGAGAGAAAAAAATTTTTAGCTAAAGACTATTAGAAGGTAATTAAAATAATTCAGGGACAGATTCAGATAACTTGAGTTATTTATACTTGTTTTCAATAAAAGACACCATGTTTCAATCAGAATCATCATCAACAGTCTTGTGATTAGCAAATCTTCAGAATGTTATACCAAATGATTTTAAATTTTTTGCACTTGTAAGTTCTGTGCCAAGTTAACCAAATACACTTCACTTGGTTTCTGCAGTGCTGGGGATTGAATCCAGACCCTCCTGCATCCTAGGGAAGCACTGTGTCATTAAGCCACATCTCCAGCCTATACTTAATATTAAATAAAATAATTATATCAGCAATGACTTGCAGGCTAAGAAGAAATTTCTGGAAGACAAGTTCTTCAAAGTTTTCAACCTGTATCAAAGTAGGAAAGTAATACATTACTTATAACATTTTTAACTACTAAAATTATCTTAAGCAGATGCCTGTTATTTCCCCTTGAGATTTCAAGTGGCCCACACTCAAAGCTCAGAATGCTTACAGGTTTAATGATTAAAGTAATATAATGCAACACCTGCCAGTATCATGCTGGGTGTTGGGACTGCAAAACCTCAGTAGGTACTAAGAACGTGGACAATGAAGTTGCCTATCTCAAAGTCAGTTATAGCTTAAAGCTTTGTTTATGCATTGCAGACAATGAAGCTGAATCTGCAAATTTGTTCCAACACCATACTTCGTATGTTAAAAAAAAACACATACAGACACACTTAAAAGTTATTTCCTTTGAAGCCTTAAATATTGCTGCCACATAGTCTTACCACATTTAAAACCTGTCACATATTTCAGCTTTTTATCTATTGTTTAGAAAATAAAGTTTACGAGGGTAGGGACCAGATCTTTTGTTACTGAGAGGTATCAGGCACACAGAATATACACTTTCTAAATGTCAAACATAAGAATGTCTCACATAAAAGTCACCATGGTAGATAAAACACCATCATGGTTCTCATTCTTTATGGTATTAAGTCTACCACAGACACTGAAGGATGGACCTACATTTGACAGGTCCCACTTTGTGCTTAATGGATTAATGGACCTCCCACAGTGCTGCTCACAGCCTCTTGTTGATGCCTACCCATTCTTCAATCCCTCTGAGGGTCGATACAGATGAGAGGCTGTGTAACAGCTGACCTCACTTTCTGATGGACCTCAGCTGAAACACTTCTTCCATCTCTACTATCATCATGTACCTGTCAAAATGGGGCTCTCCATCTCAGCTTTGGAAGTGGAATTTTCTTCTTATACGGTAATACAGTCTACACTTTGGATAACTTCTGCTGACTCAATTATTTGGCCTGAGATCCTCGGCAAAACAAATTACCTAGTAATTTCACAAACTATGCCAGTAACGGCCAATCTTTTAGAGCTTTCAATGATAACCAACAGCCCACTGAGGCATATGGGGTTAATAATATACCTTAGTTACTGCAGGCTGGTTAGGTCCTGAATGAGTGTATGGTGAAGGTATAAAAAAAGGCAAATGGAAGGATTTCAGGGCTCCAGGAGGATCAAAGCCCTCTTACAAAATTCAAGAGTCTCTCAGGGCTAAGACCACAACCTTCTCTGGGCCGCTGGTATTTATTTGGTTATCAGAAGAAGGGAAGGGAGTACTCAAGAAGGGTAGAACCACTCAAGGACTTCTCTGAATTAAGGTATTAAGTTAATCAACTGAAGAATGAGATGCCTGAGGCTATAGTCTTTATCCAGTTGAGGTCTGATCCAGGTGTCCTTGGCTATGATCTTGTCTCATCCTGTGAGGCTTTCTGACTTCATCCACCACTGCAGGTTTTAGTAGGGATTAGTGACTCACAGAGGTTCACTTACTATGAGTCCGCCATTTCCAAGTAAGGAGCCTAGGCCTTGGACAGATTCACAAGTGAACATTAAAAGCCAATTGATTAATTTAAGTCCTGTTCAGGTCTGCTTTGTACTCGTCTCCATCAGAGACATATGTGCCATAGGTTCACCACAGTTGAACTACGCTACTGTACGTCCAGTTGCTTTCAAGCCTAGCAAAGTTCACTGAAACTACTAACTTAAAGACATGGTCTTTTTCATTACTGTCCAAATTTGCTACTGTCCATGTGGAAGGCAGAATTTCTTTCATCCTATTTACTAATCCACTCTGGCTTAGGCCTTATTTTCAGGGCCTTGTGTAGAAGCAGAAGAGCTTGAAAACATTAAAAAGGGTTTCTTTCTTCCAGAAATAGGTATATGCTTACTTCTGCATCAACTTAAACAATCATAATGTGAAAGAAATTCAGAAGCAAAAAAGAAGACACAGAAGGACTTTCTATTCAGCCAAGGCAGAATAACTGGTACTAGACTTGCCTTCCCACTACAAACAACCGGGATAGGAGACAGAATATATGAGAAAACTATTTTTAGACACGGAAACACAGTGTCTTTGAGAAAAGGAAAATATGAGGTGAACTTCACAACCACTGGCTTTCTGCCTAATGGCAGTTTTTTGTCTACAGGGCAGGGAGATATAGGCTCAGAAAAACAGGCAGTTCAGCTGAGCTGAGGGTTAGAGTGCCAAAGTGACTGGAATTTACACAGCAAGGTACTGGAGAAGAGGGAAGTACACTTACAGAGGTGGAGGCCAAAAGCATACATGAGGATTCTCTGCAGGTCTTTGACCAAGAACTGGGCTATATGCACACACTGGGCAGACTAATGGAATGGTGACTGCTTGTGAGAGCAGACTAGTGATACCAGAGATCCCAGGAATGTGAAAAACACTAGAGTGGAGTTAACACCTGGATATATTTCATGCACTTAGTTCAGGCCCCATGAGCACCACTTCCTGGAGTAAGGGCCACAAATGACCTGGATTCAATACAATTCCCGCCCAAAAATCCAACAGATTTTTTTTTTTTTTTTTTGGTAGAACCTAGTAAATTGATCCTAAATTTTTCCTGGAAATGTGCAAGACTTAGAATAGTTAATTTTGATGAAAGAAGTACAAAGTTGGAGAACTCAGTACTTGATCTCAAAATCTTAGGAAATTGTAGAAATGATACATGAACAGAATAGAAAAAATATCAATGGAACAGAAGGAATCAAGAATTAGACCAATACAAAAAGTCAGCTGATTTTAAACAAAACAGTTTAATGAGGAAAGGGAACTCTACTCACTAATGTGGCTGAACAACTACCTGGTTATCAACTGGGGAAAAAAGGAAACTTGACACTTATGTTGTACTATGCCAAAAATAAACTTGAAGTGGATGATGGAGCTAATATAAAAACTAAAAATATAATGTTACTAAAAGAAAATGTACACGAATATCTTCATGTCCTTTAGGTAAGCCAAAGATGTTTTAGGATAGAAAGACAAAGCAGAGACAAGGAGATAAGTATAAACTTTAGAAAAATTACAAACTTCTGTTTATCAGATGAATACCATGAAGAAGATGACAAGGTACACCACAGAGAGGAAGAAAAGGCTGGTAATGCCATCAGCCGCTGACAACCAGAACTTCATTTTTGGTGGAAGTGTAAAATGGCATACTTCTTAAAAAACTGGCAATTTTTATACCGTTAAATATTCACATATCCTCTGACATAAGAAGTCCACACTTGCATGCTAAGCAAGCACTGGACCACTGAGTTACACCCCAGCACTTTACCCCAACTTATAATCGTTGATGTGTACTTTCAAAAGAATGTGAGGAGATTAAAAATGGTGGTGTAAAGACAGGCAGCAAAATACAGCTTCTCTAGGACTTGAAGTCAAAACACCTGGAAAATAACAGACTGATGAAGAAAAAAAGAAATAGATTTCCAGGAATCAGGAGGGAGGTGACAGGAAAATTAGAAATTACAGAAAAGCTGGAGAAATGGAGTACGATGCATAAAAGAACAAAGCAGTTTGAAAAGTTAACCACAGGTCCTGGGAAGAGGGGCCCATCTCCACTAATGCAAAGTAAGCCCATAGAAGATCAGCAGCTCCAGGGAGATATAACAGACGAGGTCAGCAGAGTATTACTACCTAGAATATATAAAAACTCAAAAAAATTAGACCTCCCCAAAATAAAAGACCCAAGGAAAAAATAGGCTGAAATGAACAGATACTTTTTAGAAGTACAAATAACCAATAGATACATGAAAAAAAGTTCAACATGTCTGGCCAAAAGAGAAATGCAAATTAAAACCACACTAAAATTCCATCTTACTCCAGCAAGAATGACTATCCTCAAGAAGTCAAGGAATAAAAAATGCTGGTGTGGCTGAAAAGAGAAAGAAGCCCTTCTGTTACTAACCATCTGAGGGTTTTTTGCTCAGTTCAGATGCCTTTGTAAATCAGCAAAGCGCAGCTCTGCCAGTTCTCAGGACACTGGATAATGCTGAATGCAAACTGCTGACACAGCCAGCTGCTGGTTACTGCCACTGCCTGTCATTACGGTTCAATGCTGGCTTGTGCTGGACCTTGTAGGTCAACTCCGCTGGGTTCTGGTCTGCTGCTTCTGGCCACCACCTCCCAGTGTCAGCTTGTGCTGGACACCTTAGGCTGACTACCAGGTTATAGTCCCTGCCACTGCCATTTGCCACCTTCCACTACCAGTTTGTGCTGGAGTCCATAGGCTGACTCTACCTGCTGCTGGTCTCTGGAGCTCGTCATGCTTACTGCGCTTTCTTTTTGAATGAATGCTCTGTCCACATTACTCAGGATAACATTTCCAAGTAGATTTACAGGAATTTTGGGGCCAACACTACTTAAGAAATAATTCAGAAGTTTCCGGAACACTGAACTGAGTGTTTAACAGGGCCTGCACTGCAGCACAGGGGCGTCAGTACACAGGAGGGCCCCTCCTAGACTAAACCAAGAAGTGGCTGAGTAGAGCTGCTTACACAGCAGCTGCAGGCTTCTGTCAGTGAGAGGCAGGGCTGAAACCAGGGACTCTTTTGAAAGGCTAGGTGTGAGGGTGAGGTGTGTAAATAAAAGGCCCAGATCCCTCCCTTTCTAATTTTAGCCATGCCAGGGTGTTTACTCCCTTTTTCAAAAAAGCAATCGGAGCTGCTGAAGTGGCACCATGTTGACAGTCTGGCTACACTCCTCTTAGAGTGGAGAGCCAGGGAGGACAATGCAGCAAGCTGTCCCAGGGAAAAAGCAGGAACAAAGAGAAGTAACGGGGAGAGGCATGTCAGCCACTGGCAAAGCAACATACTCCTTCAATCCCCTGGGGAAATCTCAAAATAGAAATTCTACTCAAGCCAGTGATTCCCCTTCTAGGTACCTTCCCCACAGAGTTAAATACAACACATTACAGTAATACATGCATACCCATGTTTACAGCAGCCCAGCTCATAACAGCTAAATCTTGGAAGCAGTCTATATGCCCATCAGTAGATGAATGGATAAAGAAAATGTGGCGTTTATACACAATGGAGTACGACTTTGCTATAAAGGATATATTGAAATCAGTTGCAGGAAAATGGATGTATCTTCAGACCATAATGTTAAATGAAATAAATCAGAAATATACACTTTGTTTGTAACTCCGTATTGTCTGTACTGTTCTTTTGCTATGTTGTAAAATGTTGTCTGTCTGTTAATGTTTTCCTCCTTTTATTAAAAAAAAAAAAAAGAAATATAAGCATATATATTGCATGGTTTCTCTTATATGAGAAATCTGAACTATAAAGAGCAAAAGACAGATAAAAGGAAAGAGGGGATAGATCTTTTGCAAATAGGAAGAGGAACAAGAGATATAGGGCAGGCGACAGTAGGGAAGCACGGGGACGGGGATGTATAAAGAATTAAGATGTGTTATGCACATGTACCAGCTCTTCATGAATGTCATTAGGTACTGTAAATATGTACTAGTAAAACAAAATATTAAAAAAATGTGAGACTTCCAGGACATCAGCTCTATGCTACTCCCTATTTGTACACAGTTTTAAAGCAACTATAATTTATGAAGTTTCAAAATGAAACATAGTAAGTTTTAGAAGAGAAAAAAATTTGCTTTGAAGTACTGATAAGAGTGGAAAGACACAGTGACTAAGTGGAAAACTGGTTACAAGTGTGTCTGGTTTGGTTTGCTTCTAGTACCATTTATACATTACCTCGATGGTCCACCCTGTTTAATTAGGTTTTCATTCGTTCCACAGTTTCTAAAATAATTATCTTTCCTATGATTATACTTCCTTTAGAGACAAATTCCTTACTCTAAGATTAAAATGCATGCATGTACAAAAAACTTATTTGTACAATCCATTTAGTTAAATAATATTTATCTATAGTAGGCCTTTAAAATCATGGATGAGAACGTAACAGTGAGAATGTAACAGAGGAGTGTAACAATGCCTACGAAATCCTACAGTCATGCTTTCTCTGTCCTTTACATTTCTGAAAATGAAGAACGGTACCAATGACATCCACTGTGCTCACAAATAGCAGGATTCTGAAACTGTAAATGATACCTGAGTGCTTGAGGAGAAACATAAGTCATAAATTCCTAACTACAAAAAATTTTAAGAGGATCTCAACAAAATTCAATTTTTCACAGAAAACAGCATCTAGTGACTCACCAACAATATCAAGTTGGGTTTCTTCATCCTCTTCTTTTTTTCTCTTCTTTTCTTTTTTTTTCTTCTTACTAGAGGAAAAAAGTTACATACTGATATATTGACTTGTACATTAAATATCACAATATGGAAGTACACAAGAGTCTTTGAAGCTGTATTGTGATTTATGAGCTACTGATTTTCAGTGATTTACATTGATAAACTGCCTTATAGTATTGAGAAGTTGCTTTTGCGTCTATGTTAGAATTAAGTGCCGACTTTGCAGCCAAACTTCCTGGTTTTAAATCCTGACCCAGTCACTGTTTACCTCTGTGATTTTTGGAAGCAATACTTAAACTCTTTCTGAATCAGTATCCCCACTTATAAAATGAGGATAATGACCCAAGCCGTCTAGTTACTTGTAGTGATTAGGAGTTAATATATAGCAGCATGTATAACTGGGGAGAAGGTAAAATAGTGCAATCTCTTTGGAAAACAGTTAAAAAGTTAAACCGAGTTATCCTAAGATCCAGTAATTATATTCCTAATTTACAGGCCCAAGAGAAATTAAAATGTATGTCCACATAAATGCTAATAAAAGGGTATTCATAGTATATCATTCCTAGTAGTCCTGAAGTGGAGATCACTTAAATGTCCACTAATTGATGTTTAACTCAGCAATATAAACGAGCATTATTCAGCTATAAAATAAGCAAATATACTGTATTACACTACAACATGGATGATTCTTAGGAATGTTATACTAAGTAAAAGCCATTTTTTAAAGAGTTATCTAACGTATGATTCCACTAAAATAAAATATTCGTAACAAATCCTAATGGATAGAAAGCAGACAGGGTGCCAGGAACTGGGAGAAGGGAGGAGGAGGAAAGGGATTTCTTTTTGGGATGTTGAAAATGCTGAACTAGATGTTGCTGAATCGCATGAATACACTAAAAAACTCACTGACTCCTACACTTCAAATGAAGAATTTTGCAGCATATGAATTACATCTAAAAAACCAGATACATGAAAAAAAAGTTAATAAGCAAAATAAAACAACTTGTGACACAGAAATTGCTACATAGGTGTTAATTATGACAGAAAGTCATAATTGTAAGATATATCTGCTAGCATTTTAATCGTAAAGTGTGTTTTCAGAAGCAAACTCTAATCGGACATGGTATCGCATGCCTATAATTCCAGCAGCACTCGGGAAGCTGAGGCAGGAAAAGCACAAGTTCAAGGCCAGCCTGGACTTCACAGCAGGACCCTGTCTTTAAACAGAACGAAACCCAGAAAAAAACTCTCCTGTTAACTCAGAGTAAAAATTTCAGACGTATTCAAGATAACTTCTGCACTCCAGACCTCTAGCAGTTCTCAAAAGCAGTGGCTTATCAGCTCTTTCACACCATCGTCCCCTCTCACCTCAGTGCCTCAAACTGTGCATCACTGAAACTAGAAAGAAATGCTCAATATTTGCATAAATAGTTAAACATGGGCAAATCTACGGGTTGAAAAAAGCTGTGGAGATATGAAGGGACAGGTATGTTTACCTAAGGAGGTCACAGTTACACACCACCTCTGCTATCTCCTCCTTACTTTCGGCTTAATTTTTCTGGCACAGCTATTATCTCACTTAATGATTCTTTAACAGTATTAACGAGCACATGGAAACAATTACCTGAGCTCTTACTAAATGCATGGAAGCTTAGAAAAATGTTTTTTTTTTCCAGGGAGCTCACTTTGTAGCTCAGGCTGGCCTCAAACTCGAAGTGATCCTCCTGCTTCAGCCTCCCGAGTGCTAGAGTTACAGGCGTGCGCACTGCACCCGGCGAAGCTTAGAAATTTTAACCAATCTGCCACAAGCACAAATTTAGTCATTGGTGGGGTCAGTATGAGCCCATACAATCCGCAATGTGATTCAGTCCAGTTCCACCGTCAGAAAAAATATTAATTTCTTTTTTTAAAGAGGAGAGAAAGTGAAAAGAATCTTGCTTCAGCTAAGAGGCTATCATCAGTGCCTACGCAATCAAAACAAACAGGCCCGCCCCCGGAGGTCGGCGGGGACACGCGGGCAGCCCG